AGCGAAGTCCATCAAGTACGTCTGCAAGTACATGAACAAAGGTTCTGCCCCCTTAACGTAGTTCCATTACTGGCAACGCCATATGTTCTGCATCACATCTATGTACAAAGAGGGAGCTAAGAGGTATTTACCTATATATTTCCCTAATAAAACTGAACTGAACATAATTATTTTAAGATGTTCTCAAATACGGTTTACCTACATAAGGGACAACAACATGTAAGGAAGCCCAAGGCGAAGCCGGGCTTCCGCGCTAGTTTGTAATAAAAAAGCACTGGCACCCGATGGCCGTTGCTCACATAAGTAATTGTTGACGTGTATTAAACGTGTCAGTTTAGACGCCTGGATCTCACGCCTTACGCCATGTTACGAGACAGACGCATAGATAAAGCAATTTTGTGCAGTTTGCGCCCTTCCCAACATAATTCGGCCTTAGAAAGAGATTGTGAAACAGTCCGACCATATTTATACGCAGGTCATCATGTTTGCATTAAAAAAACCTCGTTGGATCACGTTCGCAACTTGTTTCCTCCTGAATGCCTTCTGCTTTAATTTCGTCGCGGTTGATTTTGGTCAGCGTATAGTTTTGCAGCTCATTGTTGTAGATGCATCTGCAATGTTCAGGTGACGCCTAGAAAGTGTTGTCGTGCTTTTATTGGTGGAGCCAAAAGTCAGGAAAAAATCAATACCAAAGCCAGGCAAACTGACGGTGGGAAGTCAGTATAGATGACAATGAAGCGTGTAAAAATACTAGACCCTGAGCCTACTATCCTGAGAAGCAACGACAACAGAGTAGCCTTTCGCTTGCCCTCTGTCTACACAACAAATGCCAAGTCTCACCTCAAGGCCCGACAATCCATGCGGCCATCAAGCTTCGTAAAGGCAGTGTGGACAAACACGGACACTCATGACCTCCAGGCCAAGCATGCAGATGCAAAGTTTCCTTCTTGGTTGCGCAATCGTATACTCTCTTGGGTCAAGCAGGCAGTCAAAGACTCACGCATACACTTTAATAGCACTGAACTTGCCATCCTCTTCCAAATGTACTTTCACCTTACACACCTGGAAGTGCGCGCCCTGAAGGTCCTTGAAGTGGAAAAATTCCTAAACACAACTCTGGATATTTCACATGGTCTCACGCTAACACGCCTTGCCCGTACCGCGCAATTGCTTCCCACGGGCAGTAGTCGGGGGAAATCGCATTCTGTGAACCCTTTCGAGTTTGTCCTTCTCCTGTCCGTGTTGTTGAGGGGCAAACTCGCCGAACGCGCCGATCTGGCCTTCTACGCCATGGATGTTGACGGCGATGGACTGCTGCGTCAGCCAGTTGAGTTCACTGCCCTGTTGCAGAACTCCTTTCCTCCAGAGTACGCTTCAGCGGATGAAGACCTTGATCCCGAGCTGTCCGTTCGGGAGGCAATCGCATTCCTCACGCATAAAGCGGGCATTCGGAGGGGCGGGAGCGTGGATCTGGAGGCGTTTCGGGAACTGGCAGCCGCGGAGCCCTGGATGGTGGAGTCCCTGCTTCGCTGCATCCCAAGCGACAGGGCAAATATGGCCTTCCAGTGTATTTTCACGGAAAAGGTCGTGCTGCCTGCACGCGAGAATACCAGGCCCCTCTGGATTCATACTAGCCAATCAGCACTGGCCGGAACAGACTGCGAGCAGTAGTACTGCTGGGACCCGCAATACAGACTGACACTTTTGCACATAACAGAGAGAGACAGTGTTGCCAGGAGAAGGTGCACAACTCTAGGTTTTTATAAAGACACTTTTGGGCTGGATCTTCCAAGTCAGAAAAAAGGAGTTTGAACACTGAGAAGCAGGTTATAAGTCTCCTTTGCTAACAAAATAAAAGTCAACAAAAACAACTTCTTTCATACCTTGTTCAATTGGCTGGTTCTCCTATAACCACAGTTAATTCGGCCTACAGATAGAATGATAGAGATGAGGAGTGTGAAGTTCAAAAGCGGTATGTTTAGGACGAGCTGATTCATGTTCTCTGTACAAGTAAAGCGGAAGAAGATTATTCGCTCGCCGGAATCTAGGCTTTATTCATAGGGGGTTTTAAGCTCTTACTGGAGTCCCTTGTCTGAGGTAAAAGCAGCAAAAAACACAAACAACTGTTATAGGGGACGGGAGTCAATCAAACGCCATTTACGCCAGTCCGAATGTGACTGTTCTCTGTCTCGCAGTGTCGCGTCCAAAACTGTTTATTTAAGCCAAATCGGTGTGGAAATGGAACCTCGCATTCAAAAGGCACGATGTTTCAGGTTTATTCTGGTTTTTGATGGCATTTGGTGTTCCATCATCTATTGTTGATCCTGCCCCTAGGTGACTACTCATCCAACCGCCTGTGGGGGTCCACGCTATGGGTCTGCTCAGAGTACTACAATTATCGCGTCCAGTTTCGTACAGGAGGAAGAGGGGTAAGACCAGTAGGAGTTGGTTATTGTATACAGGAACGCAGTGGCGGTCTGAAGACCTAACGCGCGGCAGGCCCGGGTCATACGCGTGCGTCTGTCTGCTGATGTGCCGTAAGCATGAATGGATAAACGACATGCGAGAGTGAGTCACTGGCCGCTTGATCAACTGCTTGGCCAATAACAGTCTAAGGCACCTGTGATCGACTGTCTCAGAAGGAGATCGAGGAGCGAAGTCACGTGACAATTTGCGGATTTGGCGCAAGCGATACACCCACTGACGATTCTTACACAGTCTGAACTTATGGCCTAACATATGTCGTGAGCGTGGGCAGGCTTTATTTCCTATTATCTTCCGGTCAGATCACATGTGAAAAGATGGGGCGTTAGACGACAATAGAAATAGGGTAGGAAGAGAGGGTACGGAATGAATGGGAAATAAGCTGAAGCCAGTTGACAGCCGGACAAGAGGCACAGGTCCAGTTGAGCCTGGGCACCTGTCCAAGTATTGTGAGTCAGAATATATTGGTGCCAGCCTCGGAATTGATTGGATTGATTTGCATCGATATGATTGGTTGAACCTCATGTAGAAGATCAGGGATTGCAAATAGGCAACGAAGACATCCAGAGCAGAACCTAAAAGGCAAGCGCTAGGAACCCGTTTATAAATATGGGGCACGGAACAGACGTTTATTCGCCTGACGATATTCATATAGGCTGCTGGACGCAGTAGGCCATAGAATTTACAGTCAGCTAATATCCCGTAATTAAATGCCACAATTTGCGGTTAACATTTACTGACGGTGGTCCTTAGTGGTGTAAGTATCGCTTGTACATTTATATCACAGTGGCTTAACTTAATAGGAAATACCCTTGCCGCTGCGAGCTTCTGGCCCGGTCCCCTGTGGAAAGATAAGCAGAACGCCAGGTGCGAGAAATAGTGTATTCTCACGAATAGAAGCGAATATGCGTGCCCAAGGTTCTTCTTTATAGTGTATTCTGTATAGAGCTAGTGGAAAAAAGGTTGGAAGAAGTTGGCAGCTGTACGAGCGAGCGTCGGCACCCGCGAGGGCGGCGTCCAAGAGTGAGAGAGCGGACTTCACCCCAGTATTTATAGCGTCCAAGCGTGAGAGCACGAAAGTCATCAAAATATCTACAGCGCAGCCATGTGTGACTCAGCCTCACGAATTTTTCGGCCACTAAGTCTCTTGCAGGCTGCCCTCATATAGCTTGCCCACAGCTTCTGCTCCTGTCGAAGTGTCTCTCTCGGAAGCGAGATGGCTTTTTTACGAGGCCTCCGTCAAATTAATGTTCTTCTTCATGACATTTTTTCTAGTTTAAGATTTTAGGTCACTAGTACGATGCGAAGATATACAGGAGATTGCCTATCTCAGTAAATGTCGTGGATTAGGCTATAAATGTCATGTAGCGCGGAGTCAGCACACGCGGCGTGCCCCAAAACTATTATAGCAGTAAACTAAGACATAGAAGAGGACATAGCCTGGTTGACAAATTACTATTTACTAGCATAAAAATATTTAATTTTCACAAAAATCTGCAAACTCAGGTAATGGTTATATGAGAAATACCTGATCAAATGTGAAATATAAATGTTTTTAGACAGGGGGTCTCGAAAAACGTCAAAGTAATATAAAATATGTACGAATACAACAGTTACTATTTCGTATGATGTCAATTAAAATTTAAATAGCAGTAAGCCTATCGGACATGGACGTCGGGCAGTTATCGATAGCTGTCTGTACAATGTGGGTATTGAGGATACAATCCACTTTATCATCCATGAAAAGAGTTTTTGGCTTTATATCAAAGTCTTTTGACAATTTCAAAAAGATTTTCGATTGGATTTAGGTCAGGGCTGTTTGCAGGAATAAAAATTGGCTAAAGACCACACGCGGAGAGACTGGCTGTAGTCTAAAAAGTTAGATTACGCTTGTACTTGTTTGTTTACAGCGTTACAGAGAAAACTTATGACATTCCGCGTCATTTCATGTACAATCAAGTACGGTCAGTAACTTCGGCGTGGTAAAACAACTTTCGGTCTCGTAAAATTATTATTTATCTTTAGGGTACAAAAATAACAGGTTTGTACGAAAAAATTTTGTAAACTGACTTCATTCTTCTTTTCCCGATATTATTGTTTTATCACATATGTACACTTACCTAAATTTCATGGAGGAAAAAGCAAATTTTCTGTTTTGTGATCATATATAATTAAAAAGTTCCTGCTCTTTATGAATTTTCTTTTTATAGCACAACATGCACAAACAAAAAGCTTTTTCCGCAGCGTTTAATAGCGTAGGAAATTACTTGAGTATCAACAAACGCTGGATTTCGCCCGTTTCCGCCTTTAATTTCCCCCAGCATACTGATCTGAACGGAACTCATTTCTAGTAAACAGGATTTTGTTCCTCAAATTAACCCAATGAACAAAATAAACAACCTCAAATGTGTGTTAACTCCCTCACTCAAATTTTGATCTTCACATTTCATCAGATATGCAATCTACGATGTATGAAAGTATAATGTTCTCCGAGCGTGCCGTGGCTGGATTCTGATATTTAATCAAGCGCCTCAGGCTGTTCTTCTATTACCTATGATTAAGGATTCCCGAGGGAATCCGAAACGTCAGGACAGTAAACCTCTTGTTCCAGTGATCGCTTCTTCTTCCAAGCGCCTTATGTTGTAACTGAATTTTATATGCAAGACATACTCAGTGGAGTGCAAAGGGAGACATTGGCTAGTGTCAGAGACCACATTGCTATCCGGCGTCAGTGGCGCAGTAGCCTCACAAAAACGTACTATCTGGCTTCATTTTCCACGGCGTTGGCAGTGATTTCAGGGACTGGAGCTGAACTTCTCTCTGAATTTGCCCATTTGGGGAGGAAGGATAGAATGCGCTGGTTGCTGTCGGGATATACGTAAGCCACCGTCCCCAGACCGACTACGCTGTGGAGCCCGTGATGGACCTCGTTCTTTGCCACGTTCGAACTCAGATTGCCATTGACTTGTAACAGGACAAGAGGCATTCTTTGGTATTGGAATTGAAAGTTCGACGGTCGAGTTTGACTACGTCCACCGTGCGCTCCACACCAGGGTGGTGCATGGACAGCAATTTGCGCGTGACTTAGTTTAAGTGATAGTAGACTTTCGCAGCATC